AAAACAGTCACTCTGAAAAATAAAGGACTAGAAAACTTGTTGCTTGGAGGAAAAACTAGAGGATGACTGAAGTCCAGTGTAAATGCTGGGAAAAGGACATTTATTATATCACCTGTTTATGCCTAAAATATTCAGCTAGAATAGAAAAAATGGAGAAATATTTCCACATTCCAAGTACTTTAAGCTCCGTAGTTTATTCTAAGACGACCGAGGAAATGAACGGGACTGCTGGTACGAATTCAAACCATTTATATATATAACTCAGCATCCTTGAAAGGTTGCTTTATTATCTTTAAAGGAATGCGATCGATACAGCTCCACAGTGTGTAGCAGCACTCAGGCTGATAACTCTGCTCTCCCTTCCAGGAAGTGATCAACCAGCAGCCTCTGTGAGCGTCCTGATGTGTTCAGCCTGGACAGTCCAGCCAGCTGCTCTAATGAGCCACCACCATAGACCAGCTGCCACCATCCACAACTATTGTCTAGGTGTTAAACAGTTCAACTAAAGCATTATTAGTTCAACTTTTTATTTTCTTTAGTGCAACTGTTTTTAATATTCTTTTTTGTTTCTGCAGCTTTGGCTGTTACACGTTGTCAAGGTCGGGGATCTTGTGGTTTGAAAAGTTGTGTTTGAAATAAATAAGTCCAGGAACTATAAAGGCAACAGGGTTGATAAAGACTTCATTGTTGGAGTCTGCATTTTTTTTTCTTTTTTTTTCCTACTTGCTTTGATTCTGTTTTATTTTCCTATATTTTAATCATGTAAAGCACTTTGCATTTTCTTTGTACTGAATTGTGCTATATCGCCTTGCCTTGCCATAACCAATTCAAGAAGCGAAACACATTTCTGCCTCATCTTGCAGCCGCTGCAGAGGGGCTATGTCTTCCGTCGCTGTTGATGCCACACGAACAGATGAAATGATGGAAATTTCTAGGTGTTTGCTGTGAATCCACCTGAGCAGGTAACTGCGGCAGGCGAATGGCTCCTCCAGACCAGCTCACAGACTCACCCTCCGGTTGTCCGCAGGGCTGTGGTAGAACTGGGAGATGACCTGCTTGCTGCCGTTGTTGCTCTTTGCTTCTGAGAGCCTGAACTTGGCTGACATCATGGCGAACGTCCTTCCGTAATCATACGACACGTAGACCTGCAGAGGAGAGGTTCCAGAGTTAGTCCCAACCAACCAAATGTTGTTTTTTCCACCAGTTATCATATCTGATCAAGAGAAAAACATATTTTTATTTCTCCATATTAAGGTTGATCGGTTGGAGGAATCTAAAGACCAACGATAGAGTCAGCCCTTCAAACATCTTTTTTTTTTTTTAAGGGCTATTTTATTGTTTCTGTTTTGCACCGAAAAAATAAAGTTTTTTGTTTTTTTTATGGTGCAAATGAACTCCTTCCAGCTGCAGCTTTTTTCTCAGAAATGTATCTTCTTAAACCTGAAATTGAAATAAAAAACTGATCCAAACCAGAGAATAGCTGCTGTTTTTTTTAACACCCGAACCAACGCGCCACTGTTTCAATGAAGCTAACGGATTTAGCGCCATGTTTGTTCATGTTGCCCAACATTTAATTACATGTTTTATGGTTGATTTTATTGAATTGAATTGAATTAAATGTTTTAAGCACGTGGTTGTGGTTCTATTTGCTCTCAGAAGAATTTTTAAAAGTCTAGCATGCTAACTGCTAGCATGTATTTTCTATCCTGTTCCACATTTCTAATGTAAAGCCAGGTAAGTGAAGATGGCCACCACCATCTTAGTCAAATAAAAAATAAAAAAATTGTTTTAAAAAATTTCTCTTTGTGCACCAAAAGTTGTCATCGGGACAAAACTCTGCAGACATCTACACCTTATGGACAAAAGGTGTT